TTCGCACTTAAAAATATTTATCTAAAAATTAATATTTCTTAATTTCTAAAGAATATATTAAATATATTAAATATATTTCTTTTTTATCTTATTATAAATAAGTATATTATTAAGATAGATCTAATAGAAATTATTTAGATACTTAAATAGAATATTATTTATATATTATTAATATATAGCTAAGTCGTTAATTAAATTAAAAGAGAGAATTTAATATTTATATATTTTAAGAGAAGTAATAAAAGTAGTAAAATCCTCGCTATTAAGATATATATATAGTTTATTAAACGCGGCTATAATATCTAATTAAGTAAGATATTTATATCTCTAAATCTTTATTAAAATCTTATCTATTAATAGAATTAGATATTAATTTCTTTTAATAATAACGTTTAACTTTTGATAGTCTATATAAAAATATAATTTTTTATTCGACTTTTTCGCGAATAAAATAAATAAGGTGAATAATATATAACTTAATATTATAAATCTCTTCTTTAGATATTTATTTAGATACTTCTTTATCTATTCTAATTTATATTTTAATATTAAATAGATTCTACTTTTTAAAAGTTTCGTTTTATTAAAGCTATTATTAAATTTTAATTTATAATTATAAGAATAATATAGAAGAAGTATATTCGCTTTAGTCTTATCGAAAATATTAAGATAATTATAATACTTTATAAATAGCTTATATTTTATCTTTTTAGAATTAATTTTATTAATATTATTAATCTAAATAAAGCAATTAAAATTATAATATCTTTTATATTTCTTTTCTAAATTATATAAATAGAGTTTATTAATTAATATATAAGAATTATAAGATATTTAGATAATAAGAGATATATATAATATAGATAAAAAGTTATTATAGATCTTATTTATTATTAATATAAATAATTTATTATCTTTTTTATAGATTAATTAATAGTAGATTACTATATTAACTTTAGCGATATTAATAAAATTAATTTTTTTACTTTTCTCGTCTTTATTTAATAAAAAAATATTTAAATTAATTTTATTATTATAAGTAAATAGAGAAAAGCTTTATTATTTTAATATAATAGATAATAAAATAAATAATATAAATAATTAAAGCTTCGAAGTTAATAGAAAAAAGAGTTCGTTTATTATTAATATTTAATTATTATTATAATTATATCGATTAAATAAAAAGAGTATCTTATTCTATAATATATTAAGAATTATCTTATATTTATTTATCTAAGATTTTTTAATTATTATATTATATTTTAATAGTATAATTAATATTAATTTTTTTTTTAATAGTTTTTTATTATTACTATAGAAAGTAAATAATATATAATTAGTTATTTTATAATCTAATTATTATAATCTCTTAGTAATTTAGATCGTAATAGTAAGAGTAATTCTAGATATAAGACTTTATATATCGCTAGAATTAAAAATTTATTTATAACTATATAAATATTAATATATTTATTATTTATAAGAAAGTTTTAAAGTAAGTAATTTCTTTTTTATAAAGATAGTGTAATTTATATATAAAAAGAATAATATACTAAAGCGTTATTAAGAGTATCTATTAGATATACTTTATAAATATCTCTTATTATAACTTTAAAAGAGGCTATTTATTTCTTAAATTTAAAAAAAAATTATTAATATTTATAGTATTAATATTATTAATTTTAAATAATTTATTTATTTCTATCGCGTAAAATTATACTTTTTTAAAGACTTTTTTACTAATTTTAATTTAAATAATTATTATATAATTCTTTTAATAGTAATTTTTTTTATTATAATTATAGTATATTAATTTCTTTAATTTTAAATTAATTATAATATTTAGAAATATAATAATTATATTTAAATTAAATTCGATAATAGATATAAAGCGTATATTAATTACGAATATTATTTTTAATATTTATATTATAATTAACTTAATAGTAATCTTTATAAATTTAAAATTTTATACTTAGTATATTATAAGTTATTTAATTTTCGAAGATATTCTTTTATAATTTTTAAAATAATAAAATGTTCTATAATCTATTATAACGTCTTTAAATCTTTTCTTAATTTCTTTAAAAAATAAATTTTTAATATAAGAGTTTTTTTAATATTAAGAATAATATTTAATTAAATAAAGTTTAAATAGAAGTTAATAAAGAATTAAATCTCTTATTATAGAGTATTTATATTACGCTATATATTATTTTACTAATTTAAATTCTTATAAATATTAATTAACTTATTTATAATTTTATTAAAAGATTAATATAAGTTAATAAAGTTTTAAAGTCTTTTATATATAATATATTATATAATTTTATTATTAATTTATAAGACTATATAGATTATTTTAAAGTTTTTAATAAGATAATAATCGATATTAATCTTAAATTTCTATTTTATTCTAGAGAATTAATTATTTTAAATAAGATTACTATTATCGATAGATAGAGATAAATTCGAGATCTTAATTAATTTCTCTTTTAAATATCTAGATATATATTCTTTCTCGATTAAAGATAATTATAAATTCTTTATTAATTATAAATTAAGATTATTAACTTTTCGCTATAGAGAAATTATATTCTTCTAAAAATCTTAAACTAATTAATTTATTTTTTTAATTAATTTATAAATTTAAAATAAATCGTTTATAATTTAATTCTTTTTTATTATAATAACGTAATATTAAATAGTAATTTTTTAGAAATTATTTTACTTCTAATAAATCTTATTTAATATAAATATAAAAATATTAAGATTATCAATAGCTTAATACTATAATTATAAACTATTAGCGATATTTTAAATTTATTTATTAAATTTATTTTATTAGAAATATTATTTAATAGAATTAATATCTATTAAAACTTAATTTACTTAAATAAGGTTTTAATTTAATCTATTCTTTTAATATTAGATTTTATTATAAAAGAAGAAAGAAAGATTAAAAATAAAGTAGAGAGGAGTTTAAATATTTCGAAAGAATAGATATTAAGAATATTAGATATACTAGAGAATAAAGAAATATCTCTAAAATATATCGAAATTATTTGATATTAAGAATAAAAAATTTATTATAAAGTCTAAAATAATATTATTTCTTTATAAAGATTTAATATATTTATTTCTTAATTATTTAAGATATTAAGAAGATTATAACTAATTTAAATAGTACTTTTTCGAGTATATTTACTTCGCTTAGAGAGTTTTTTATCTTATAGAGAAGTTATATATAAGAAAGCTTTAAAGAATAATATTTTAAATTAATTATAACTCGACTATTTTTTATCTAATTAAAATTTTATTAAAATCTTAAACTTTATAATATATTTTAAATATAAAAATATAAGATAATATTAACTATTTCTTTTAATTCGCTAGTTATATAAATAGTCTATTATCTTTTTTATTCCTCGATTACTATTTACTAAGATCGTTTCGCTATTTTATTTAAACTCTTTAAAATTAATTTATCTATCTAATAAACTTATTTAGAGATATAATAATTTAATTTAATTTCTTATTAAAGTCTCTATTAGCGCGTTTCTTTAAATTTATTTATTAATATAAATAAAATAAGTAAATTTATCTTAGTTATAATATTAGAATTAATATAGATATAATATTAATATAAATATATTAAATAAGATAATTAAGATATCGAATTATATAGATAAAAGAAAGATATTAAGTAGTAGATAAATATCTTTACTAAGATACGCTAGACTCGAATAGATTAGAGAGTTAAGTAATATATTAAGAATATAGAATACGCTTATAATAGTTTTTAGTTAATAGTATAGAGAATACGATAGCGAAATTTCGAGTTTATAATCTATTATAAATGATATATATTTAATAGTCTCATATTATAAAGAGTAGTTATTTATTATTATATTCTATAAAGAAGTATATAGAAAGAATAAAGGTAATTATCTATTTATAGTATAAAGCTACGCTAAGGCTATTTACTATCATAAGGCGTAGTCATAATATCTATTTAAAACTTAGTAGTGTGTAGAATGCTGGCCTTCTATCGGCTGATTCCAACAGCATCAAAGCCAGCCACAATGCCTGAACGACTTCGCTCCAAACGCCGAGGAAAAGCTTGAACCCTTTGACTGGAGATCACAGAGCTCACAGGCGAGTTGCCAAAGAACGGAGAGTAAGCGTCGACCGAGCTGAAATGCCACAAATTGGAAGACCCTCTTTTCAGCATCGTCTCTCAAATGGGGGTAGATGAGTAAGCTTCCATTGTCAACTGCTTGAAGAGAACTTGTGTAGCTGCCGTTCGAGCAGGTCTTGAGCTCTATACGTGATCATATTTAGTTTTACGAGCTACAAATAGGTATGATGAAAAAGATTCAAGAATCTTTTGTGGTGGGTAGCCTCTTTCAAAAGTCAAACTGAGACCTGGCTACCTAACCCACGTCCAATCTTACTCCATTGAGCCATCTCGTTTATTGCGTCTCTTATGCTATTTGGCAGGACGATGCCCAACCGTCGCTGACGTTTGGAAGGCTCATGAAGCCGCAGCCCACAATAGAATGCATCGGATGGCGCCAGGGTTCGTGGCACGTGGCGTATACTGCTTACTACACTTCTTAAGGGCTCTATTTCAGTGATGGCAACTCGTTGGTCTCAACTCAACGTACGTAAAGCGACATCCTTCAACAGAAGTAATTTCGCGTAAGGGGGCAGACGGCAAGCATCTCCTTGACAACAATCTGCTCTGTCGCACTAAGAATTCATCTCATGAAGAGGGAGCATGTTCTCCTATCTGGGCGTCGGCATGGCTTCTAGTTTTTTCTGTATCATCTCTTCTAAATTTAGTTACGGCCTTATATTCGCCAATTTAGCGGGCCAAAGCTCGTGGATACTGATCAACACAGCATTATCTTGCTAAGTCATAATGGATTGGCCGTTGAATTGACCCTGCGGGCTCGAATACTTACAGACAACGGCGTGGCACAGGGCATTGGACTTCAAAGCCGATGTGTGCGCAGCCAAGTGAGTGTAACAATGTTCTGTTTAAGAACGAGTCAACGATTAGAAACCAATCCGCCGCCAATAACACCCCCCCCGAAATCATCATCCAGGATATAATAATCCAAATCCACAAACCCAAACCTCGTCACGAAATCCGTGATCCCCCGGACCGTCGCGCCCCACTTCGCCCACGTGACCGCGTCGCGCGTTTTCGGGTACAGGTTCAGCCGCACCGTCGCCGACGAGATCTTGAGCTGACCCGGCCCCACGGCCGCGGGCGGCGACGCGAAGTGCAGGTTCACGTCGTTGGCGGCTATGAGGAGGCAGAGCACCACGTTGGAGGGCGGGATCAGGTGGCCGAAGGCTTGGAATTTGATCTTGAGGGTGGAGTGGGGGACGCGGTAGATGTAAGGTTGTGGTGGTAGGGAACTGGTGGGAGGGTTGAGTTGGGCGGATTTTGGTGGTGATGGGGTCGGACTTACTTTCGTGGAGTCGATAGTGTTAGGTTGAGGGTGAGACTATTGGCGGCGTCGGGGCTGGGTAGGGAGATGTTATTGGGAGTATTGAGGGTGATTGGAGACGCTGCGAGACTGAAGGTACATAGTTGGAGGAGGGTAGCAAGAGTGGATGATTGGTAAAACCGCATCATGAAGCCAGTGAGTCATAAATCCAGAAAAAAAGAAAAAAAGAACAGTCGCGGAGAAAGACCATGCTGTACTCACTAAGGGGACCTATTCTTATACAGAAGGCAATCTTTAAGCTTTCTGTCAGCTGTCGGCTATGATGATTGGTACAGGCGCATTTGCGATGCTTGACGCAATGACCCTACCTGGTCAAGCATTGCAGTCAAACGTGCAGCTTCACTACCAAAAATAATCCTGTGAAATTGAGATTGGACATGATTGGGCGATTCGAGGATGACCATAGCGTGACTCCATGCCAAAGAGACGGCTGTCGCGTGCTGCTCTTGACGACTTCGGCTTCTTGCAGGCAGTGTTGCCGCAATTAAACATGGATCTTAAAACATGATTCTTAAAACGTGGTGGTTGTTTCATCAAGTCTATCAGACTGCGAAAGGGTAGAGACAGGTTTAGCAATGTGATTCAATAAAATAATTCAAAGCGGGAACAGCCTTACAGCCCTACAACTTTACTCAATAAGGTAAGAAAGTAAATTACCTCAAAGTGTTGGTTTTGACGGCTTATGGCCATTAGCCACGGCTTATAACCATTAGCCACAATGTGGCTAGGGGCTACAGCCATATAGCCATAGGCAATATAGCCATAGATAACATAGCTATTAGCAGCAGTCATATAGTCATAGGCAATAGTCATATAGTTATAACTATAATATACTAGGGTAATTAGTTTACTTAATATATATATAAAACTAATACGTCTAAAAGACTAAGATATATCTCTTAAAGTAATTTAATTTATTATAAGTTATAAGCCGAAATTAAATAACTCGAAAAAACGAATCTCATCTGCAAATCTGAAAAGTTCCTACAAAATTTGAAATTGCTGATCGCGCGTTTGTCGCGAAAATCACAAAATCTGTCAAATTAATAAATCTGATTAGAATTCGCTTAAATTCTATCGATTTAGTAAATCTGATTAGAATCTGCCTAAATTCCGCCGATTTAGTAATTATCTTAATCTTTTTTATTAATTCTATTAGTTTAATAGCAATATATATAAAAAAGAAAAGTTCTAATAATCGATATTATAACGATAAGATTCTATAATAACGAGTATTAACGCTAACTTAAATTTGATTATAAAATTAGATAATTTAATAAAATTAATCGTATAAGTAATACTCTAATATAGTATATAATAATACGTATATTAATAATAATATATATTGATATTATATATATATAAAATAATACTTAAAGTATATTAGAGTATATTATATAAAATTTTTAAAGTTATTAAAATTTTTTAAAGTTATTAAATTAATAGAATTAATAAAAAGAGTTAAGATAGTTATTAAATTAACGAAAAGAGTTAGATATAAGTAAAGTCTACTAAATAGACTAAATCGTACTTATAATACGAACCCGACGGAAATCGTGTGAAAAGGAATTTTTTAGATTTGCAGATGCTCTAGTAATTTAATAAGCGACTTTTTATATTTATATTAGACTTATATCTACTTATATAAAGTTCTTTTCTTATATTCTATCTATCTATATATATAATCTATTTATATAATATTTATATATAGCTCTAGTCTTAATTATATTAGATATAGTCTATTATATTATTAATAGATTATAAACTTAATTAGTTATTAATCGAGATTTTAATCTTTCGCTATATCTATCTATTATCGCTATAACCTCTTTAAATATTAGAGAATATAGCTATCTTAAGAATTCTATCGAAGGATATTTAAGAATAAAGCTATAGTAGACTAGAGAATAAGATTATTTATTCGCTAAATAGATAGCGTTATTAATTAAGAACCTTTTTTATTTAAAAGAAAAGAGAAAGAAGAAAGAAGAGAAGAAAGAAGACTTTTTACTCGATTTAAATAATTTACTAATAGTCGATTTATTAAAGAAACTAAATAAGAGACTTATTAGTAAATCGTATATTAAAATAAAAGTTCTAAAGAACTTAAACTATTATCTATAAATCTAGAATTATTAATAATTTCTCGAGAAATAAGATATCTTTAAAATAATATTAGAGAAATTATTAATATCTATATAATTCGATAGAGAGCTAATTAAATAATAAATTATTTTAAATAAATAGATCGCTATACTAATTAGAGATAACGTTAATTAAAATTAGAAGAGTTATATCGTCTACTTTATTACTTCTAAATTTATATAAAATAAGCTTTATTAAATTTATAAAATAAGTAATAAAGAATATCTCTCTATTATATTATAGAAGTTTCTCGAGTATATTAAATTAGTAAATTAAACGATCGATTAAATAATAATAGATTTATAAAATTTATAGAACGAAGTTATTAGTTTAAATATAGTTTATATATTATATAATCTTACTATAATAATAATAATTATAAATACTTATTAAAGAAGTAAGTTCGATATAATTAAATATAACTTAAAAATTAATAATAATCTTACTATCGAAATAATTATAGAATATTTATAAACTATAAATTAAGATAGATAGATTAAGAATAAAGATCTATTTATATATAATAAACGAAAGGGCTAGTTAGACTAAAGACCTCTTAGAAATATAAGTAAGATAGAATATTATAACTATAGAAAAATTAAATATTATAAAAAGAAATATCTAGATAAGAAGAATAAAAAGAATAAGAATTATAAGACGAAGGATTTAAATAAGCGAAATCGTAAATTAAAGAATTAATTAAAGAGTTTAAAGATATTTAAAAATAATAAACGAAAACGCTTAGATTATACTATTATAGTAGTAAATAAATCAAATAATAATAATAATATTAGCGATATAAATAATATATATAATCGAAAGAAAGACTTATAGATAATTAGAAAAAAGCTAGAGTCTATAAATAATATATTATTAATAAAGAATTTCTTTATAATAATAGATTTTTTAGAAGATAGTAACTAGCTAATAGACTCTAAAGCGACTCGCTATATAATATTAAATAAAAAACTATTTTTTAATTTATAGTCTTATTAAAAAAGATAAAATTTAATAATTAAAGTAAGTTAATAGCGAGAGATAGAAGAATTATTTGAATTTATATAGATAATCATATATAGACTATAGAGAATATTTTATATATTTCAGAAATAGATAATAATCTACTATCTATTATAGCACTAGATTAAAAGAATTTTAAGATATAATTTAAAAGTCTATATATTAGAATTATTAGTATATTTATAGATAAGATAATAGTAAAGGGCTATACGAGAAATAGTCTATATTAATTAATTAAATCGATATTTAATAGAGTATTCGCTTTTAGAAAGTCTAGATCTTTTATTAAAAGTATATTTATATCTACGAAATAAGAATAAATCGATTATTTTTAACTAATATATTAACGATTAAGCTATACTAAAGTATATCGCTTAAAGAATCTATATCTCTATATAAGAGATATAGAGGAAATAAAATTATTAAAAGAATTTTAATATAATATATATAATTCTACGAAAATAATTTAATAGATTAATAAGAACTCTAGACTGAAGATAATAGTATTAGAAGCTTAAATATATATCGACTTCTAGAAACTATATTTCGTAGTTAATATTATAAGAGATAGTAAGTAATTTATATCTCTTATTAATAAAATTATTAATTAATTAAATCTCGAGCTTATTATATTAAAAAAATAGATCTATATCTTTATTTTTAGAAATATAATTATAATTAATAAAACGACTAGAGTAAGAGAAGTAATATTAAATAGAATCGATAATATAGGGGAGTATAAATCAATTAAGGATATACTTAAAAAACGAGGTATTATTATAGAATTCATAATTATTTATATTCTATACTAGAATAATATTATAAAACGATTTAATAGGATATTAATTAAATTTATAAGATCTATACTTAGTTAGTTAAATCTATCTATAAGCTTCTAATTAGAGACCGCGATTTATATAAATTATCTAAAAAATAGATTATTATATAATAAGAGAGAGAGTAAATTACTCTATAAACTATAATTTAATAAAAAATCAAATCTAAATTATAAAAAAGTCTTCGATTATCTATACTTAATTTATCTATTAAAAGAGAAATAAGAAAATAAGCTATATATTATAGCTTACTAGAGTATATATATCGATTATTATTTATTTACTTAATATCGAATTTATAACTCTTAAAATAATCGATTTAAATAATTTATAAATATTTATTTTTATAAGAATTATAAGGAAGTTTAACTAATAACTCTAACTTCGTTTTTAATAGCCTATAATTTTATACGAGTAGATATTATCTTTACTCGCTAAAACGATAATAATCTTAATAACGTCTTTATCTAAAATAGTATTAAGATTATATATAGTAACGATAATAATAAGAAGAACTATAAAAGGTCTATACTAGATATTATATCGTCGTTATAAATCGAAGAAATTAAAGATATATAGAATTTTTAAATAGAGGGAGAAGTTTCTATTAACTTCTTAGAGAATATAAATAATAATAAAGATTCGAGATTAAGTAATCTAAATGTATATTAAATTAAACTAAAATCTCTATTAAATCTTTATAAAGCTAAAAAGACTCTTAATATCTTAAATAATAAAGAAATAATAAATTAAGAGACGATATCTAAGATTAATATTTAATAATCTATTATATCTATATTTACTTCTAATTCTTCTAATCGCATTAAGCGACGTCTTATATCTTAGATTACTATCTCTATATAATAGTCTTATATTAAAAAACTAGGCTATAACTCTTATAAATTCTATAATAACTTTAATATAAAGAATAAGATTAAGCTTATAAATATTATAATTAAACTTCTTATCTATTAAAAAGCTATTTATAAATTAAACGCTCGCGAATAAAAATAAGCTACTATTAAGAAAATTATTATCTTAATTATTAAAGAAATTTAAAAGCTCGCTACTTTATCGACTAATAAACGTCTAATTATCTATAAATAAATTTTTAAAATTAAATATAATAGCGATAAAATTATTAATAAATTTAAGATTAGATTTATTATTAGAGAGTTTATATAAGTAAAAAATATCGACTTTTATAAGATCTTTACTCTCACTTTATAATTTAACTCTCTATATCTATTTCTATTATATATAGTAATAATAAATCTTCTAATAGAATAAATAAATATTAATAATACTTATTTTAATAGCGACCTCTATAAGAAAATCTATATAATCTTATTACTAGACTATTTATTAGTAATTAATATTAAAAGTAAAATATTACTTTTTTAGAAAGAATTATATAGTCTTAAGTAATTAGCCTATATCTAGAATAAGAAATTTAAGTATATTATTAAGAAAATAAGATTTATAGTTACTATAGTTAATAGCTATATCTTTATTTAAATATTATTAAAGAAAATAGCTATTATAATACTTTATATAAACGATATTCTTATTAAAGCTAAGCTATAAAGTACTATAGATTATATTAAGTATTAAATCTATAAAGAATTTAAGACTATCGAAGTAAACTTAATTAATTATATTCTCGATATTTAAGTTTATTATAATTAGAAATTCTATATCTTAACTATTAAAAAAGTATAGTATATTAAAAAAGTACTTAAAGAATATTTAATAGATTAGACGACTTTTATTTATATCTCTATTAATAAATATAAATTAATTTAATTAGATTAATTAGAGAAAGAATATATAAACTAGCTATAATATTAGAAGCGAATAGAAAATCTTATATTTCTTATAACTAATATATAAATTAACTTAGTTTTCATTATAGAAAAGCTTAATTGATTTAATTATCACCTTATTATCCGCTATATAAATATCGTAAATCGAGTATTTAAGTATATACGAAGTATTATATCTTTAGAATTACGCTATTAAAAGATAGAAATATTAAAAGAATTCGCGAATTTAGTATACGATAATAATTAGAAGAATTATAAATCTATTTATAAATTTACTCTACTATATAAATAAGTAATATATATATAATATAGTTAAAAATAGTAAGAAGTAGTTATATCTACTATAGAAGCTAAATATATAGCTCTAATAAAAGAAGATAAAACTAATATATAGACTATATAATAGTTATAGAAAATCCATTTTCGAGTATTAGATAAAGGTCTTATAATACTACTTAATAATAATAATAAAATTATTAGTCTTATAAAGAACTCTAAATATTATTAAAAGATTAAATATATTAATATTTAATATTATTATATTCGCTAATTAATTAAAAATAAGATAATTATTATAAACTATATATTTATAATTTAAATAATAATAGATATTCTTATTAAATCGCTTAATAAGAAGCTATTTAAATAGTATAAAGAGCTATTTAAGATATATAGCTATCTAATTAATTAGAAAATTACTATCGAGAAAGTTCGATATTATATAAGGTCTAAATTCACTTTCTTAAAATAATCTTATTATATATAAGAGTTATTATATATCTTAGAAGAATAAATTAGAGAACTATATTAAAAGTTTACGTTATTTCTCTACTTTCTCTACTTTTTTTATAAAGATTTTTTCGAAGAGTAATATTAACTATTTGCTCTATTATCTCTATCTTCTTAGTAATTAAATAAAGAGAAAATATTAATTTTAATAGCTTATAGTTATTAGTTATAATTTATAATTATTAATTATAATATAGCTAGAAGTTATAGTTATATAGCTATAGATAATATAGTTATAAATAATATAACTATTAATAATAATTATATAGCTATAAATAATAGCTATATAATTATAACTATAATATATTAAAGTAATTAATTTACTTAGTATATATATAGAATTAATATATCTAAAAGACTAAGATATAATCTCTAAAGCAATTCGATTTACTATAGATCATAAGCCGAAATCGAATAACTCGAAAAGACGAATCTCTAGTAATTTAGCAAGCGACTTTTTACATTTATATTAGACCCATATCTACTTATATGAAATTCTTTTCTTATATTCTATCTATCTATATATACGATTTATTTATATAGTATTTATATATAGCCCTAGCCCTAATTATATTAAATATAGCCTATTATATTATTAATATAAAGGATATTATACGTAATTATCTGATGAGTAGACTTTAGAGGGTTTCGGAGAGGGTATACCTCGGAGAAACCCCTCTTAACTCAAAAACCTATCAACGTAACTTTACGGTGCGAAAACCTAATTAGGCAACTATGTATTTGAATCACTATTTTATAATATAAAACAGTGATTTAATTTGTGGGTGATCGACGACGCTAAGTATTACCCTGTATGGTTAGCCTATTAAATTATTACCTTTTTCGTTTTGAATCATTCTTTTGAATCACATTGCTAAACCTGTCTAGTGCGATTTTTCATTTTCATGTCGACTTGAGAATTCCGCTACGAGACTGTAAGCGCGGCATTCTGATCCAAATAAATGTATTATCTTGGTAGAAGATGTATGACAATTTTGGCGAAGGGGACTATCATCTTTTGCGATGAATGTTATATTGTAGGTCTCCGGAATGCGAAAGGGCGTAGAGGCGGTAGAATTCGCATGCATGTTCTGGAATTTTGAGAGAAGCTTTTGGTATCCTCGGAAGTTCGCCATCAACATAGTAGCTAGCACCTTACCGGTGGTCGAGGCACAACCAACTGTACAGCTTTTCTTCATCTCTATTTAGCGTATTCAAAAACATCTGGAATGCTTGGCACCGGAGATCTTTCACACCACACTCCCAAATTCGTACTGTAGCATAGAAATCTCTCCGCAAAATTATTCAATAACACTGCTATCGTTAGTATAGGTCCCAAATAAAAAGATGAAGCTATACTGAAGTCTTAGCATATTCCTCAGTGTTAGCAACTCAGCTAAAAAAGCCTGGTCCCCAGGAGTGTCTGCGCTTGACAGTCAGACACCCCTATTTGGACCTAAATAGGGCGAATTACTAATTCATACCCCAAAAGTATGAATCCTTACCGAATCATACCCCTAATTACCGAATCATACCCCTACACCAAATCACACCCAAATATGGGGTATGATTCGGTAATTTGCCATTGCTTGGGGCATGATTTGGTAAGTTGTCAAAGTGGCCTTAAACTACGAAGGAGATAATCCGCGATCTGGCTTATTCGATTATAGAAATAAGGGAGTTTCTCCGACCGCATTTGATGAGAATTCTATCAGCCTAAAAATATCAGACGAAAGTCGAGTGAGCGAAATTTCGAGCCCGGGGGTGTCCGCACTTCACGCTGCAGACACCCCTATTCGGGTCCCGTAGGCCCCGTAGGGCCCCTGACGGAATAATTTGGCGGGGTAAGCTTCGGGGGTCAAACCCCGCCTCGAACCTCGCCCCGTTACGCCACCGTCATCAATAATCAAGTCGACGACTACTACCAGACGCTCAGTAAGCCTACCGCTACCATTAACTTTATTAAACCCTCTCATATCAGAAAGCTATCATTTAAGATCCTTATCAAATCATACCCCAAGCAATGGCAAATTACCGAATCATACCCCATATTTGGGTGTGATTTGGTGTAGGGGTATGATTCGGTAAGGATTCGTACTTTCGGGGTATGATTCGGTAATTTGCCCCAAGCACTTGGCCCGCGGGGCCTTCGTAGGGCCCCCGTAGGGACTGCTGCTAACACTCAGCCCCCCATTTATCTGTTTCTGAGCTTCTTAAGCAGAGGCTATTTCAGTAGTTATAGGGGGGTAGTTCTTACTGCGACGGCGGCGGTTCGGTGGTTGCTGCGTTATTGGTGCGTTTGGGAGGTATAGCTGAGGTTATATAGCTTCAAAATTGATCAAATGCGACTATTTGCGATGTGGCTGCTTGATTTGAATGATTTTGCGGAGAGATTTCTATGCTACAGTACGAATTTGGGTGTGTGGTGTGAAAGATCTCCAGTGCCAAGCATTCCAGATGTTTTTGAATACGCTAAATCGCTCTACCTCTTCCTTCCCGGTGACACACTAAGGTATAAGCCCAGTACTGATCTATCGAAGTGCAGACCTGGGTCAGGAGACGGAATGTCTAGCCGTTCACGATATTGAATCGTCCGGCTGTATACTCCCTTCCCTTCACCCATCCAATAGACTTTACCTTGACACCGGCTTCCTTGCACCGTGAGCGTAGCTCGCGATGACCCTCCTCCTCCACTAAATCATCGTCTTCAACGTATTCAAAACAGATCTCTTCCAAATTTGGCAGGCATGCCTTGCGCAGCTTAGGCAAGTCTTTGAACATGGCCCCACATATTTTCTCGACGGGCTCTTCCTCACTACCCCGCTCGACATGTGGAATCTCTGTATTGATGCTGGTAAAGAAATTCGATCAGCGGTCGTGCCCTAGCTTTCTTCAAGTGGCCCTGCGGGACCTCCTGTTCCGGCTCCAGCGGGATACTGGTGGATAGTCCAGTACGCTTGTACAGCAATACGGTGTCTAGCTTTACTTCTTGGAGGCTCTTGAATGCACGCAGACTGCCAATATATGGCTCGTCATTCTTGAGCGGCACTAACTCATTCCATGTGAGAGCTGTCAGCTCGAGGAAGATGAAGGTATTACAGGCGTGGAGCTGTAAAGATGCAACGATGGTCGTTCGGGTCGTCGCTCCAGTGCTTTGAAGGCTAGAATGCGTACGTGAACGTCTCAAGTGCCTTCGCAGCGCCGATATAATTGGTCAATGTTGTTGTGTCAATGTCGCATACTTCGAGCTTGACGTCAGTCACGTGCGAAAACCCTGTGCCCCATGACCACTGATTGTTCCGACGATGAACATTGTAGGCCTCGATTGATCGCATCTTTGGTAATGCCATGGATGGACCGGACAACTCCACTTTGCTTTTCACTCCCGAAGTCTCTGTCCAGTGGTTTAATGTGAACTCCGAGAGTTCGCTGATAACCCCCAATTTGTTGGTCCTCGAGTCTGTAGCAGCTGTCGTGAGTGACGTGATGATTGTTTCAAAATTTATTTCCCGCCAGTACTCTAGACTGTAGAAGCGAAGAGATTCAAAGTGTGGGTACAGCGCGAGTAGGAGGATGACTGTCGCAGCTGGTTCCCCCTCCCGGATACCATCGTTCCAGGCCGTCATCTCCGTTGTCGATGCGTTGGACAGGATTTTAAGATGAGTCTCAGACACCATTGCCGTGATACGGTCCCCGTGTCGTTCGATAATCCTCTCAATTTCGGCCTCTTCCTGTTGTTCGCTTAGATAGCTCTTATCGTCCTCGAGATGATACGATCGTGGATTGATATCCATAATTCTAGGAGGGAGCTTGCTCTTCTGATCTTCAAGAAAATCGAGCAGACCAAGAAGAGGATGGATCTGGTTTGGAGAATCGTCATCCCAACCAACACCAATGGTGTGGAATTCGGCTTTCCTGTGTCATGCATCTGTATTGTGTCTTTACCATAGACATGAAACTTCTTGCAACATGTCCAGAGTGCTTCGAGGTCATATACGTCAGTCTTATTGATGATCTGTACACCTCAGTAACGTAGGCGTTGTGGTGATCAAAGCTGGACAGCAAGTTCACCGAATAGCCTTCGAAAATCTCGCTGCGAATTCAGTCAAGATGTGTTGGTTTTGTTGGCTTTGATCTCGGGCGCTGTAGAAGCGTACGGGCATTTGTAAAGTAACGTGGGATGCCGTATGATGGAGCCAGTGTTGCTTAAAAGACTTCGCTCAAAAGGAAGCAAAGTGAAAGTGAAAATCACTCCACGGCTAGATCCTGCTGTCTTCTCTGCGCTTGACTGCTTGCACCTGATAGGTATTCAACCCTTATTCACAGGTCCCCTACAGAGATACGTCGTACTACTACCGGGAAACACCACGCTGCTATTTTAACATTTACTGCTGGCAACGACATCATGACAGAATCACATCTCAATCATCAGAATAACTAGGGACAATCTTTGAACGGGTAATCTCTCTCCACAATCCCTACATTTTGTCAACCACTAAGTCCTACATATCCGTCCTTGAGAATGGGGCGGCCGTTATCTCATCTGCCCCCAATCTGGTCACAAATCTCTGATCAACCCTTCACCCAAAAAGACGCTCTAAGGTGATCAATGATGGATGGATTTCGGGCTCGCTCTCCGGGCCACGTTCCCTCGACCCAATGCCCGGTGAACACACCGTTGTCGGCGCCAACGAGCGTGCGGTGCGTGAGTAGGGGTGGATTTGGTTTCCCAAAGGCACCGCGTCATGGGAAATCAGCATCGTCGACATTTTGGAATCACCGGATTCGAAACTGTTGACAGCGGATACTTCAAGCTGGAGATCATCATTTTGGCTGTTTTCAGGGATTAAGGTAAGACAATAGTGCTCATCATTCACGTACATGGTATAGCTACACCGTAGAAGCAGTCGGCTGGCTAAAGCTGATAACGGGACTGACAGAGTACGTTGGGGGTGGCTCCGTGGCAGCTGCGAGGTCATGGTCTCGGAGGCTAGTATGGCGTAGGGATGAACGAGACATTTAAATAGCCTGGGAAAAAGGGTTCAATTTGGTGGTAAGTTACACTTTTGGCGTTCATTGGGTATATGCTTGTTCGAGAACCCGATACTTACTAGCCATCTTTGTCGGTGCACCCGACGTGCTTGAATGAAGGAGGGTCTAGATGGCTAAATATATTTACAGTCTTAAAATTAGCAGTCTTCTAGCAGCTACCATGCTCCTAGCCCTTGTCCTGTGCACACGTGCGTTTCGTACCCTCATGATTCATTTGGATATATCGTCTCCATAACACACCGATCATAGCCAACGGCAGCTTTTCCAAAAGTCACAAGCTATATGACTGCCCTCATAACCAACAAACTCTGGAAATCTAGACAGTCGTCCACCCACGCTTGGGTGGCGGAGGAGAGGCCGAGCTCTGCTGCATTTCGTATGTGAGATTGATACCATCGTGATTGAGATCATCTGGCCGTCCGCTGTAAATGAAGGTCTGCAAAGGCTTTACCGGCCTTGGCAATTCATGCCCAAGCACGTCTAGATTGACGTATCCTTCGTGGACGCCACGGGAAGTTTTCACGTCTCTGGGATTATTTTCCGCGAACGAGGACGGAGTCGGGTTTGTTCCGCCAAGTTTCAGCCCCGAAGTTCCATTGCGGGCGCGTAGGTGGTACTTGAATGAGTCGTAGGAGGGGAGATGGTGTTGCCATGTGTGGGACGCTGCCGGCATGCAGGCACAGATTATGCCTACGAACATCTCTAAGAGGCTGGGATTGCCATCAGCCAGAGCTCTCACGGTGCAGATATTGGTGGTTGGAGACCCGACGGAGAGAAGACTTACGTCACGGTGTTCGCAGGTATGAGAGCCCATGTTTGGTCTCGGGTTCTCTCGAGCCGGACCCTGTAGTATATGCTCAGGACTGAGCCCAGACAAGCGCTACATCGGCCGGTCCTGCATCAGTTCCTGGAGCATTGTGGTAAGACGGCCGGACATCCAACTTACAGCAACCCGGTCGTGAAGATTAGGATGATACCAAGCTTCCGGTGAGTGGCCATTTGCAGCTTACTCACAGCCACGATCGGCAGAACCAGGAGATAGATATCAATGACCAGACCCACAGCAGATGAAGGGACACCGAAGTGGAGATTCAGTTCCTCGCGCTGAGTACTTGTATTGGATAGCCACGTCTGGCCTCTGTGAGGTGTTACAACAATGAAGAAGCACACGGTCATAGCAATGTAGAAGAGCGTCGTGAAGATGCCCCCGAGTAAGGCGCAGATCCTCATCCAACGCATCGGGCCGAAAATATGGCCATACGTGATGAAAAACGTGATCTTGATGAAAAGGAAGGTTGGTGACAACAGGACTGAGATCAGGTAGACAGACTGGCTCACGATCGTGTTAGAAATGACCCGTGGCCCGGAGCCGACTACCTACGATCACAGTATTTCTGCTGCCCGCTTGGCCTTTGATATCCCATAGGTGGACTCCAATAGCGCCTTCGTGTACTCCTACCGTTTGCGGCGTGTGAGCGGTTGTGGAAGAGGCAGAGGAAGGCTTCTTACCAAAGGTAGCTGCGGCATAACACGTAACTGTGCCAACCTGTTGTGGCACGTGCAATGCTCAGCGTTCGCTGCAATTCGTGCGAGATAGAATTGCAGGTGACTTACCATACCCACTACAATGGTCACTGTTGGGCGGAGTCAATAATTCAAGGTTTCATATCGCTATCGGATTTGTCCGGAAGACCTACGATCGTCCAACATATACTTTCGAACAATGAACGTTTTCATGTAGAGCCGGTTCAGTATGAAAATCGTGGCAATGCAGAGCAGCAAAGACGTCACGACGATTTCGAGCTTTCCTCGATTTGGTGGATTTGTGAAATTTGGCGTTACTCCCGGTGGGGGTGGCAATGCTGGTAAATCAGAGGAGAGTGACGTCTGTTCGGGTGTTGGCTGTGATATCGTCGTCGATGCCATGATTTACGGAAAAATGTATCCTTGGTCCGATTTGAAGTGGGAAAACTAGAGTGCCTAGTATGGGTTGTAATGACGGTGTTCATCTACTGAATCAAAGAGAAAACGGAGAATAAGCGAAGGAGCAGACCGGCCTAGATTCCGTGCTTAGACACAATTTGAAAGAAATTGAAGATGAGGCTGCAAGCCTGATGACCGCAGAAGTAAGCGTAGGAGTACGAGAACCAGTATGGCAGGCCGAGTAATCGGACGTTTGAAATATCATCTTCTAGAAGAACGCCACGGCGTTTGAAGCCAGCTGATGTCCGGCTCACGTCAGCCTTGGAAAACCCCTCTGAACAACCTCTTTCCCCGCTATGTTGATACCTGTAGATATTTTAGTGTATGGCGACAGCGATACGCAAGCGATTAATGATAGGGTCGCATAAAGAATGTGGGGTGGTATTCGAGGACTGTAGAAAGAAAAACGGGTAATGCAGATAGCTTACGGAGTCCCGCAGGAAAACCGAGTATCGGGCGCAAATGAGTAGACACGTGGTGAATCCTTCCGCTGCGGCTTCGCTTATTGTCTCTCAATCTATCTTGACCCAGATGCCTTGCTAGCAGATGGTGTAAGGCATATAGAGGCCTCGCCTCGTCCATGAACGCTGTTTATTTGTAAGTCTTTTCGAATAACACACCTCTTTCAAAGTTGAATCCAAAGTACTGTCTACTTTGCCATCCAAAATGGAAGATTGATGGAGTCTATGTGGAGATAGCCGTTCGATCCAAACTAGATCTTTTGGCTGAAAGATCTAGCGCATCTTCTTCGGCTGCTCGGGACGCATCGCCTGCCTTTCAGCTACGCAAGTTGAATGAGGATACCAAATCTCAGCTTTGCATTTACCAGCCTAACAGTGGAGGCGGCGCTGAGATCCAAGAGTCTCAGACACAAGACTGGCCACCGCAGTATGTTGATGCTCGAAAAAGATCTTCCTCGCGAATTGCTCCGTGAATAAGCCGGCTTCTTCTCGAAGGTGCTGGCGGTAGTTTTATAGAGCTTCAGAGATACTACCTCAAGGGAGGGATTCAGAGATGTATAGGCGGCGACGACCGTGAGTAGTGTCTGCGAGGCCTGTTAAGAAGGTTTCAAATACCAAACGTACAATTTGATCAAGTCGTGTTCCAAATTGGTTGCTTAGATCAGACTCAGATCTAAATACGGTGCTGGCCTGAAGCAAAGACCTTTTGCTCAGAAATCTGCGGACTTGTTGACAATGGCTCTGGCGTGTCGCCCTGTAATGACCCAGCCGCTGGGCTCTCGGGTTCAGAGGCGCTCTGGATGCAGTGATCGTGCCTTCTTTCCTCCACCAGCACCAGCACCTCCTCCTCCTCTTCAATTCCCTGGATGTACCAGTCTTCATTGTCCGCGGGCTCGAAATGGTAGTCTTCGACTGATGACTCATCCTCGTCGAATCTGAAATACTCTGGCTCCAGCGCCTGTCAATACTGTGGCTTTTGCAGACGAACTGCATTATATATCCTTCGGAAAGTACTCCATTGAAGCTGGCTTTTGTAAGATTGACGCGTTCACATCGGGAACGTGGGCTTCGGGTTCATGGGGCTGATCTGCGCATATAGCTCACGGGACCTAAGAGCTGATCGAGCCTTCATACAATGAGATGGGCGCATTTTTTGAGCTGAGGTCCAGCTTTCACGCGCATTTGCATACGCTCATGAGACAGACATGTGGGCACGCGCACACTTCCCAAGCCATGAGCATAAACCTCCGCGAAGACTTCTCTCCCTGAATCGAATATGCGTAATGTGCATTCGCTGGCATTGACAGAGGGATTGCAAAAGGTCTCCCATGTCACCGGCAACACTGAATTATCGCAATTCTTAAAAATCCGTCATCTCGATATAGGTAAGGTAGGTACATGTAGACATGGTAATAGAGGCACAACTAGTTGGGCCAATCGGGGACTTGATTCGATATACCATACATGTAGGCTTAATAAGCACTAGTGCGAATGCTAGGCCGCCTCTAGCGCTAGGGGCCGGCCCTAGAGCACCCGATTTAGGGAGTCGGTCCCGATTTATTGGTGTACTGTGGCCGGAAATAGCTACATCAGTAAGTCGGGAGCAACTAATACCAAAATCGGGTTCTATACAACATTAGCTCACGACCACCAGGATCGTTCCTGCAGGCTGCAGCTGACTGCAGAGCCACCAGGAGCCGTGCTGCATTATCAGTATGGATTTCTGGTTCAACTGGATCTAAACTCGTCAATCAAATTGTCAGATCAATGACCCTGTCACCACGTGTCTATCAGACTACTAGCATAGGGTTCAAATGCCCATCATTACGCATGCCTTGTGCATTGGCGTCCTTGAGAGAGATCTGCTGCATATTTGCGACACCAATGATTCTGCGCGCTCGAACTCGTCATGTTCTTGTCTTTGGAAGTTGTGCCGATGTCGGAATTGGGGGCTGAAGGAAGGCTATGAGGTAGGCTATTATATTAGAATGCTGTCTGCTTCGCCGTTTGTCTGTTTTCATCTCCACGCTCTAGTCGTGCTACGCACTTAGCTCGTTCTAGCGAGAAACGAGCTAAGTGCGTGGCGCCATCACCCATCCAAAGTGAGCCACTGTCGACGTTCCTAGCGGAAGTTTTATTAGTGATCTGCCAGTATGACAGACACACGGGACATGTTAGATCCAATCCATTCATTGATCTTGTGCCGCCGTAGCACTCGTCTTGACTGTGGCACAGCAGTTAGCTTCTCGTGTTGGCGGCGCCCGACTATCAACACAGCGGAGAGCGGTGTAAGGTTAAGTACCAGGCTGCGAGCCGGAAAGGAAGATATAATGTCCTCCTCGACGGCTTTCTTCGAGCCTCTTCACCGAGGAACCTCACTATCATCTCTTTGGACGTCATTTCCCTCTTCCAAGATCAACGTCGACACATTCCGAAAAAAAAACCATGCGGATCTCCACGAAGCATCTCCTCACCTCCCTGAGCGCCCTGCTAATAGCAGCACCCACGCATGCTGACCCCCTCACACAACCAGCCGCCGCCAAACATGGTACGCTCAGCTTCCAAACCACAGGCAACGTTACCCGCGTCACCATCAACAACGGACCCATAAACATCATCGACCCAAACCTGATAACCGACCTGCTCACATACCTCGTGTCCATCCAACCCTCAACGACCACCACAACCCCCAAAGTCGTCATCTTTGATAGCTCGAACCCCGACTGGTTCCTCGGCCCCCTCGATACCGTTCTCACGCACAACCCCATCACCCAGGACAAAATCACCGCAACGATCAACTATTCCTACCTTGCGCCCCTGCTGCAAAACATCACCACGACCGCCTTCATCGCCGAAATCAACGGCCGCAACATTGGCGGCGGGCACGAACTCGCGCTGCAGATGGACATGCGGTTTGCAGGGCCGAACGCACACACGGGCTTTTTCGAGGACGGGCTAGGTCTCACGGTGGGCGGAGGCGGCCAATTGTTCCTTGGCCAATTGATCAACAAAGGCCGAGCGCTCGAATATCTGCTCTCAGCCAAGGCGTTCGACGGACCCACAGGCGCCGCGCTGGGGCTCTTCAACGAATACTATCCTACTGGTGCCGCGCTGACGTCAGCCGTCAACACACTGGCCCAGCGTATTGGGCTCTTCCCCCAGGACGCCCTCAATGACACCAAGTCTGCGCTCGACAACTACCTCAATCCCTCTCCCGCACTGCTGGCTACCGACGTGACGAACTTTCTCGCGCTGAACGGCAATCCTGTGAGCCAGGCGCTCCAAACCAAGTTCCTGGCGCTGTCGGATAACGAAACGGATGGCGCGTTCGAGAAAAATCTCCCAGAGGATATCACGGAGTTGTATCAATGATCGGTCGAAAAGAGCGTCTCGCCCATCAGTGGCTGAGGGAGTGTTGAAGATATCAAAAAGGTAGCCACGGCGGCAGATTGGGATATTTGTATCGTATAGATTATTCATAGAAATTTTAATCTGGGGCTCTCATTCTGGAACCGTGCTCCGAACCGTCCTGCTTCTCCAGGCCTTCCCCTCTCAAGTCAACACAACCCAACCCAACTCAACTTTTCCACGAGACGTCGAGCTCCAGAGTTATTAGCCGCTGCTTGCTCGACTCATGCTCTAGACAACTCGCCTGGCTCAGCAGTGAACCTTGAAACGTGCACCAAGTCCTCATGACTCTAATCCTTCCTTCGCGCCGACGACCCATCGACGACAGGACGGAGATGACTAACCCGAACCACAGCCTTAGTACCAGAGTGCCAACCTACCGCCTACATTCCCTCACTCCGGCCCCAGCTAAGCTGGACCATCATCGTCGGACTCGGCCAGTTTCACTAGAGATAGACCAGCAACACCCATCGTTGGGTGCAAGTTGCGACCAATTGATGCTGAGCTTAGCCAAGCTGTTGATGCCATCCGTGCGTAGGTATTGATCGCTCGCTCGCAGTGCTCACGTTGAGATCAACATCAACATCCTCCAGCAGGCGAGCAGCACGTACGTACAGCCAACAGCCTCGAACCTTTTAAGAGGAATATATCTGTATATATGTACCTACGTACACGCTCAACCCAACGCAATCCAATCTAGCTCGTCTCCATACCTCCCTCCCTCCCAGCACCGACCTAGCATCTTGTACCGTGACTCCCCCACGGTCGGAGTATAGTACCGAATATGACTGAATGTGCATGAGCTCCACATGTGAAAGAAACCGAGCGGTGATTCTTGAGAGAACTCACGGGTTTACTTTATACTTAGCCATCAAACCTCTCATCTGATCCAATGAGCTAGGCGGACTTTGAATAAACCTACCAAGGCGAAGGATCGGAGCCCCCTATATACTACGACACCTTAATAGGTCTACCAGTGTCAGAGGCAGCTGCTTCGACGTCACGTTCCCCTTCACAAAATTCGCATCTATCTACTTCCAGAGTATGAAGAGCGCTGAGGACAGTTTGAGCTTCTGCTTTCAGTGCTCGAGTGCGGGTAAGTAGATTAAAATTCGAGCGCCGAGTTGTATAGCCCAGTCGCCAAGATAGCGGCCTAGGTCTTCGGGGTATCTTATCAAATGATAGGCAGCCTCAGGGTCGAATAGATGAACGGGCTACGGCGGTCTTTTCCTGACTGTCAGATCAGCTGAGGTCTTCCAGTCACGAGAGCGATATCTTTGTTGCTCGAATCAGCAGACTGAATTTCAAGGTCAACGCTGTCATCTTCCAAAGATAGATCAAACGCATAATGGTTTCTGTAGCAGAGTCTGCTCAAGTACATAGACTTGGGTATGTCCAACCGAAAGAGGGTGGGACCTGAGGCTCTTGCTTGGGATCTCCTAAGGCGATATTGGTTGCTCCGCCGCCTTGGTTTTTGACTGTTTGTTGAAACAGTCATCTGCGACAAGGTGACTGATACAGGTGATGTCGAAATTGAGCCTGGGATCCGAGTTGTTGCTCTTGTTGACTAGAAGAAAGACGGTCACGCCATCTCATTTGGCAGATGTTACGTCTGAAAGTCGTTGGACCTTCGAGCTCGACAAGGAATAGCAGCCGACCATAACGATTATTGTCTGCGCTAACGAGCGTTATCACATTCACTTGGTCATAGAGCGTTAGGACGAAGGGTGTGAGAGCGTTCACATCACACCCAGCATGAATCACATTCGATGCAACAATCGGGTCCATTTCGGGATGGTACCCTTGAGCGCTGTGAGGCTTCTTCATGTAAAAAGATGCGTGACTTGCGCTACGGGAATCCCAGAACCTTCCTTCTGCTTCAGCCGGAAGGGCGATGGTCTCTTCGATATATGTGCACTCTGTGTATTTCCGCTACGGCTAATGGCCATCGAGCGCTGGCAATATCTCCTTGTTGCGCTGCCAGTATCTGCACCAACTCTGAGGATCTTGAGACCTGGCTTTTCGAGAATGATTAGAGAAAGCATAGATGCTAGTCGTCAGACTGCTTGCTTGTAAACCAATCCGTTCCCTCAATCGTCGATGATCAAGTTGTCTCCCAGCGTGACATGACATTGGGCTTTTTCGCCACCGAGGTTGTTGTGAATGTGACACATTAGACGGGATTCGGGGAATAGAAGGTTGGGGGCTACTGCAAGTTGGGAATACTCTTGATGCCGTGATTGGACGAAGGGAAAATCAGCAACGTACTACTCGTTTCCACCCCCATTTGCACGTTACCCCCATTTGCACGCTCTTAAAACCGATAAATCCGACGCAACACCAAAATGCCTACCTTTCACCAAATTTGTATGGCAAACTAGCACAATAATGATGGTCTTTCATTTCTATCCAGGCTTAAGATCGGAGAACCCAAATCACCGTTTTTTGGGCCTTATCGGCCTACCATGTCTTGAAAAAACCGTTACTATCTCTTCTTCTACCTCTTCTTCTATCTCTTCTTCTACCTCTTCTTCTACCTCTTCTTCTATCTCTTCTACCTCTTCTTCTACTACCTCCTCTTCTACTACCTTCTTACCTCTTCTACCTCTTCTATCTTTTTTATCTTACTGCGGTGAAGCCTCTAATGGAGCCTCCGGTGGAGCCAGTGGAGCCGGTGGAGCCCGCCACTGTGGCGGAGCAGCTCCTCGTCTATCTCGCCGTTGTTGCTGTGATGGAGCGAGATTTAGTGACATCAGTGGGCCTGGTGTGGGAGGTGCAGTAGCCTTTTTCTTGACAGGACTTCTACCTCTCTTCGTGTCTTCAAAAATAGCTGGTCCGAGGTGACACCTACTATGCCAGGCCTATAGATGACGACTATGGTACCGTAGCATTGGCCATTATGGTAGACTATGGTGGTAGGGCATTTGAATGAGTGGTAGTGGTAGCCATGGTAGTGGTAGCTATCTATGTCGGATTTATCGGATTTAAGAGCGTGCAAATGGGGGTAACGTGCAAATGGGGGTGGAAACGAGTAGAACCGGTCAAAACAAATGACGGATTTCGCGTTTCGCACCTAAATCGAGGTATTTCATGTAGTGATTTCAACCACAATCAAGGATTCCACGTATACAAGATTCCCTATATAAGTTATTTCATATCTAAAGATTAATTCTATCTATTCATAATATTATCAAAAACTTATTCAATTGTATAATTAATTGAGTAAGAGGGCGTGTTAAGCTAAAGTGGTTTTTACGCGCCAAATTTGACGATTTTCGCGTTTTTTCCTCTTAGTCTTACTTATCCTCCATAGAAACAGCGTAAATCTAATTAAGATATATAAAGTCCGCGTATGAAATTATGTAATATATTAATAGCTGTTATATGTAAAAATTTTAGATAGATTTATTACCTAGGTAATCGCATAGCGTAAGCTATAAAACGTCGAGTTTTGGTGGAAAAC